TTTAAAAAATAATCATTATCTTGGTTTAGTTTTAATAAATTTTGACTTTATATAAACATAATTATTCAGTGTTTGTCATTTTTTGCTCAATCTAATATTTGTAAAATTTATCTATGTTAATGCGTGAAGCTATAATTTTATTTTTATTCCTGTATAGTATTCCATTATAAGATAATAGTTTTATTTATTCATTCTATTGAGGAACATTTGGCCTTTTTTCTGTTTTGAACTATGATGAATAATGATTATGCGAACTTTCATGTTCATGTCTATTGGTGTCTCTGTACGTGCATTTCTGTTGATCATACCCAGGGGTAGAATTACCATGTGAGTGGATACACTTATGTTCAGTTTCTGTCGGATTCTGCCAAACAGTTTTCCAAAAGATAGCAGTCTACAATCCCACCAGCAGTGTATGCAAGTTCCAGTAGACTACGTATTCCTGCTTACATCTTTTATATTCTGTTCATTCTGGTGGGTATACAGTGGTATCTAACTGATATTATTTTACATTTCTCTGATGACTGCTGAGGTTGAGAATCTTCATAGACTTCTTAGTACTTTAGCTATCCTCTTGTGAGGTGCATATTCACATTTCCTATTTCCCCACCAAGTTATCTCATGATCTTCAACTGACGTGTTGAAATTCCTTATGTATTCTTGACTGGTAACAATGTGGTAAACTCCTAATTTGTGGGTTACCTTTTTAGTCTCTTAATGACATTTTTTTGATAAACAGAAATTAATGTAGTATACTTTCTATGTCCCTATCTTGAAAGTCTTGGAGCTAGCCTCCCAAATAAATCTTTTAGATCTGCACCTTGTAGCCCACTAGCCAGTAGCAGCTGCATGTGGATATTGAGCACTTGAAATGGGGCTAGTCTGAATTAAGATATTCTGTAAGTGTAAAATACATGATTTCAAAGACATAGTATTGAAAAAGAATCTAAATCTCATTAAGAATGTTTATATTGATTACGTATTAAAGTGATAATATTTTAGATATAGTGGGTTAAATAAAACAGAGTATCAAAATTACTTTCACCAGTTTATTTAGAAAACTTTAAAATTACATAATTGGCCTGGCCATTGTGGCTTAGTGGTTGAGCTTTGACCCATGCACCAAGAGGTCCCCAGTTTGATTCCTGGTCAGGGCACATGCCTGGGTTGTACGCCACATCTCCAGTGGGGGGCATGCAGGAGGCGGCCAATCAGTGTTCTCTCTCATTACTGTTTCTGTCTCTCTCCACCTCTCCCTTTCACTCTAGAATTAGTAAAGAAAAACAAATTTTAAGTTACATAACTGACCCAAATTATTATATTTCTATATTCTAGAAGCATGCTGTCCAATAGAACTTTCTGAGATGATGGGCATGTTCTATGTCTGCAGTGTCCAATATAGTAGCCATGATCTAATGTGGCTCTTGAGCATTTATTTATTTAAATCTTTATTGTTGAATGTATTACAGGTGTTCCTCATTTTCCCCCATTGACCCCCCTCCTCCTTACTCCCGCCCCCCTCCCGCCTTTTCCCACACTATTGTCTGTGTCCATTGGTTATGCATATAAGTTCTTTGGTTTATTTCTTCCCACCCCCTAACCCTTTCCCTTTGAGGTTTGTCAGTCTAGCAATGAATTTGTACTTCTTAATCCCTTCACTTTTTTACCCATTCCCCAACCCTCCTCCCATCTGGCAACCAACAAAATGTTCTCTGTATCTATGAGAATGTTTCTGTTCTACCTGTTCATTTTGTTTGTAGATTCCATTGTCGATAGATATGTATTCATTGCCATTTTGTTTGTTCATATATTTTATCTTTTTCTTCAAAAAGACCCTTCATCATTTCATATAATAACAATTTGGTGGTGATGAACTCCTTTAACTTTTTCTTGTCTGGGAAACTCTTTATATGGCCATCAATTCTAAATGACAGCTTTGCAGGATAGAGTAATTTTGGTTGTAGGTTCTTGCTTTTCATCACTCTGAATATTTCTTGCCACTCCCTTCTGGCCTGCAAAGTTTCTTTTGAGAAATCCGCTGACAACCTTGTGGGAACTCCCTTGTAGGTAACTAGCTGCCTTTCTTTCGCAGCTTTTAAGATTCTCTCTTTGTCTTGAACCTTTTGCATTTTGATGATGTGTCTTGGTGTGGGCCTCTTGGGGTTCATCTTATTTGGGACTCTCTGTGCTTCCTGGACTTGTATGTCTGTTTCCTTCACCAAGTTAGGAAAGTTTTCTGCCATTATTGTTTCAAGCAGGTTTTCGATTTCTTGTTCTCCCTCTTCTCCTTCTGGCACCCCCAAGATGCAAATGTTGGCACGCTTGAAGTTGTCCCAGAGGCTCCTTACACTATCCTCATTTTTTTGGATTCTTTTTTCTTTCTGCTGTTCTGATTGGGCGTTTTTTGCTTTCTTATATTCCAACTCGATGGTTTGCTTCTTGTATTTCCATACTCTACTATTGAATCTGTGTAAATTGTTCTTTATTTCAGTTAATGCCTCCTTCATTTCTGACTGTATCCATCATTTCTGACTTGTCCTTTTTTATGCTCTTGAGGCCCTTACTAAGTTCACTGAGCATCCTTATAAGCAGTGTTTTGAACTCAGCATCTGTTAGGTTGCTTATTTCCATTTCGCTTAATTCTTTTCTTGGGGTTTTGTTCTGTTCTTTTATTTGGGACCTGTTTCTTTGTCTCCTCATTATGGCTGCCTCCCTGTGTTTGTTTCTGTGTATTACTTAATGAGAGGTATGGGGCTATCTGAGACCAGATGCTGCTTGTTTGAAAGAATTTAGGAAAACCTGAAGCAGGATCCAAGACAGGCCAATCCTTTGGTAAAGCAACTGGCAACAGCTTGGGTGGGCCTGAAAGTTGGGTGGGGCGGGGCCTCAGGGAATCACCAGGGTGGGGATACCAGTGTGACCCAGGTTGCTGGAGTCCCAGATATGGCAGCTGTCTGCTGTCCCAGGGAAGGGCTCACCAAAGGAACAAAGGCCTCTAACAGCACATTTGTCTCAGAGAAGGCCCCCTCTCCAGCCGTTGCTCCAGTGCCAAACAGCTCAGTTCTTCCCTGTATGTCTCTGGCGCCCCTCGAGCTGCCTCCCCTCCGAGCTTAGAGGGAGAGAGTCCGATAAGTCCGTGCGCGGGCCCTTTAAGGAGCTGCCTGGGGCTCCAGCTGCATTAGCTTCCATGAACCTCAGTTCCCGCTGGTTTTTCCAGCCAGAAGTTATGGGGACTTCTCTTCCTGGCACTGGAACCCTGAGCAGGGCGTCTGGTGTGGGACGGGGACCCCTCAGTCCTCGGAGGATCTTCCCAGCCGAGGTGTTCCCCTGACTTTTATCCGCCACACATGGGTGTGGGACTAGTCCCTCCGCCTCCGCCCCTCCTACCAGTCTGGATGTGGCTGCTGCTTTAATTCCGTAGCTGTAGGACTTCCATTCTGCTTGATTTCAGGCGGTTTTGAATGATGGTTGTTCTGTAGTTTAGTTGTAACTATGATGTGATTGTGGGAGGACGCGCATTTACCTACGCCGCCATCTTGACCAGAAGTCCTGGCTCTTGAGCACTTAAAATGTAGCTTAGGGTGACTAAAGAAGCTGGATTTTAAATTTAATTGTAGTTTAAATTTAAGTAGCCACATCTAGTCATCGCCATATTGGACAGCACAGTTCTGGACACTTTATTGCTTTAACATTTATTGTTTAGACTTGGGTTTAAAATTTATTTGTAATTGATTTTTATAGTAGAAGGATAGGGATCATTTTACTTATCTTTTCTTGTATATGGGAATCTAGTTGACCAACAACCAAGGAAAAGAGAATCCTTTCCTATTTTTATACTCTGTTTTGTTTCTTTGGTATGTTATCTGTTCTTGACACCAACCATCACACTATCTGTAGTAACTGGTCGAGTATGTGCTCCAATCTAGTTCTTCAGAAGTGTCTTGGCCATTCTTGGCCATTTCTTTTTCCACCTAAATATTTAAAACACCTCAAATTCTGCCCTGGCCGGTTTGGCTCAGAGGTTAGAGGGTTGGCCCACGGACCAGAGAGTCTTGGGTTTGGTTCCCGCTAGTGGCACGTACCTTGGTTGCAGTTTGTCCCTGGCCCCAGTTGGGGTTGCTTGGGTGGTAACCACTCGATGTGTCTCTCTCACATCGATGTTTCTTTCTCTCTCTTCCTCCCTCTTTCTCTCCCACTCTATCTGAAGATAAATGCAAAAATGTCCTCGGGTGAGGATTAAATAAATAAGTAAAAACACCTCAAATTCTTACAAAATTACATCTGGGATTTTGATTGCGATTACATCTATATGTCATCCAATCACAAACATGATATAGTCATCCATTTATTTAGGTCTTTCATTTCTCTCACTAATATGTGATCCTTATTTATTTCTGTAAAGGTCTTACACATCTTTTGTTAGATTTAGTCCTAGCTATTTGCTATTTTAAATAATCCTGTTTTCTAATTTTCTAACTATTGCTGGTATATAGAAATACAGTTGATTTTATGTTGCTGTCCTTATATCCAACAACTTGACTAAATTTTGAGAGATTCTTCTGGATTTTCTATATGTCCAATCCTGTCATTCATGAATGACAGTTTCATTTCTTTATGACTCTTAGATGTTTTATCATTTAATTTCATCTTGCTTTATTGCAATTACCAGAGGGCCTCAAGAGCAGGATTAGCACACTATTTTGTAAAGTACCGAATAGGACGGAAGCCAGCAATTCCTATATAAATGTATAGATTCTTAAGTGTTGTGCTAAAAGGGAGTCAGTAGTCTGGCAGATGAGTCTTGAGCAGTTTATATTAATTCAAAGTGCTGTACGCTATTTTCCATTTTTACAGGGAATTAGAAAAGAAAGAATCATAGCCATGAAAGAAATGGGGTAAAACATTTGCCTAGTAGATTGGCAACTGTTAGAAAATTTATGATTGTTTTGAATGTGACCAAGTATAAACTAATGCTTGTCTCTCTTTTTAAATCCCTTTAGGAAAAATAGAAATGAAGGTACATATGCACACAAAATTTTGCCTCATTTGTTTGCTGACATTTATTTTTCATCATTGCAACCACTGCCATGAAGAACATGACCATGGTCCTGAAGAGCATCACAGACACCATCATGGAATGACAGAGTCGGAATCAAGCAAATTTTCAGTGCTGGATGCTAAAAATGAAAAAAATTATTACATTGAAAAACTTTTTGACCGTTATGGTGAAAATGGAAGATTATCCTTTTTTGGTCTGGAGAAACTTTTAACAAACTTGGGCCTTGGAGAAATAAAAGTAGTTGAAATTAATCATGAGGATCTTGGCCACGATCATGTTTCTCACTTAGATATTTTGGCAGTTCAAGAGGGAAAGCATTTTCACTCACATAACCACCAGCATTCCCATAAGCATTTAAATTCAGAAAATCAAACTGTGACCAGTGTATCAACAAAAAGATACCATAAGTGTGATCCAGAGAAAGAGACAATTGAAGTATCTGTCAAATCTGATGATAAACATATGCGTGATCGTAATCATCGCTTATGTCATCACCATTGTTTGCGTCATCACCTCGATCATAACACTACTCGCCATTTTTCTAATGATTCCATTACTCACAATGAGCGTGGGGAGCCTAGCCATGAACCTTCAACAGAGACCAATAAAACACAGGAACAATCTGAAAGTAAGCCACCAAAAGGAAAGAGGAAGAGAAAAGGGAAGAAGAGTGATGAAAATCCTGGGGTTATTACACCAGGTTTTCCCCCTAACCATGATCAGGGTGAACAATATGAGCATAATCGGGTCCATAAACCTGATCGTGTACATAACCCAGGTCATTCTCATGTACATCTTCCAGAACATAATAATGGTCATGATCCTGGTCATGGACACCAAGATCCTGATCCTGATAATGAAGGTGAACTTCGACATACTAGAAAGCGAGAAGCACCACATGTTAAAAAAAGTGCAATTTATTCAGCTGCTAGTCACAAAGATCATAATGAAGATGACCGTCAACATGAGGTAAGTATAAAAAGGTGGTTGCTTCATAATACTGAGATAATTTTGGAGCATTTTATGTAAAAAAGAGAAGTAACAGTGGAATGTCAATCATCTTGCAGCTTTTTTCGAGGTAATATAAAATAAATACGTTAAGGAATTAAAGTTTTTATCTGGATTTTTACTTGTGTTGTTCTCAAATTTGTGTTCTTAAAATCTAAATGTTTGAGGTTGTTAGAAAATATATCTTACATTTACTCTTTATTTTACTATCTTGCTTATTATGACTTTCTGACTCCCCAAGTTAGTTTTCATGTTGTTACTATTAGCTGGTTTCCATATATTTGAAAATTGAAGCTTTTTTTTGTTCAACCTTTCCTCTTGGGCAGTGACTAGACAGTTTCTTTTTCATAGCTATTAACTTATTGAATTAATTATGGAATGGGTCCTAGTCATTGATATAGCTCCAAATCAGGTATTTTACCCATGTCATAGGTTGGTTTTGTCAGTACATCACTTTATGATAGGGACTACTTGCTCATGGTGTCACCTTTTCTCATGCCTTTGACAGATTTAGAGTGAATGCAAAATGATATAATAATAGGAAACCCCAATAGTAATGGGGTGGTTGTGCTTCCAAATTTTCATGATTTTTTTGAATACTTAACATTGATTGAATCCTTAGATTTTTTTAAAACTATGTTCACCTTAAACACATTTATTTTTGTTTTATTAAAGGTATAGTAACACCTTTTGTTCTAATTTTTATCACTCTTAAGCTTAGAAAAAATAGTTGAATTTATTGTTCATATGTATAAAAAGCAGAACCATCTAATATGGAATATGACTTCACCCTTTGTTGGTTATGTCTCTATAATTTAAATATGTTTTGCATCTAAGTAAATATCTTTGTTTCTTCCCCAGAGAAATCAGATATTTGGTTTTTAGCAGTTATAGCACTGATTTTAAAATATGTTATTTTATTTAAAATAACATATTTTAAAATCTTAGTGTACTTTTAAAGTAATATCTTCATTTACTGTTATGGATGATATTCTAGACTCTGTTGTTAATAACTGGACATTATCATTAATGGTACTTTTTGTATCACACTTGTGGGGTCTGCATCATCAAACCTGATGCATATTGGGAGTTTTCTCAGGATTTATGGAAATATTGTATGCATTAAATAGGATAGTGCCTTACGTTAAAACCTGAGAAGAATCATTTTTTTGGTATGTAATGTTCTGATTTTATTTTTTGTACATAGGTAAAATCATATAATGAGGTAGCAAGTCAATAAACAAGCATTCTACCTGAGTGGATATGTATGAAAAAGAGGCAGTACCATTTTTTTTGCCTAAGTTTTAGATATTTGTTTTCTTTATGATGGGTTCAAACTTGTTTGTTCTGTGTATCCTGCTTTGTTTTGTTTTGCACTCAAAGTACCAGCGGACAAAGCTGCCTTTTTTTTTTTTTTTTCCTTCATCTTCCTGTTTTAGTACTGGGCTAGAACTCTTTTAGGCAGTGAAAAAGTCTATATTATACTGTAATATAAAGTTATTAAAGTATCTTAAGTTTATTTAACACTGTTTTACAAGTAAGAATCATAAGTAATTGATAAATACACTTTGACTAGAGAAATGATTTTCCCCCTTACCCCTTAAGAATCTTAGGAATTTAATTGTGAATCTCTCTTATCAATGGCAAAAGGTCATTATCTTTCATGTGTTAGGATGGAAAAATGGTTAAAATCCATAAAAAGTCTTAGGTGGTAAGTTGAATGTATTCCTATCATAAATTCCTATCCAAAACCTTTACTTCTAATAGATACCTGAATATTATTACAAATTATTTTCAAATAATAATTAGAATATTTTCTTTGCACAGTAATTTTTTTTCTACATAGACTACTTACTTAATTTGTTTTATCAATTTCTTTGCAGTGTTTGAACGTCACTCAGTTGTTAAAATACTATGGTCATGGTGCCAACTCTCCCATCTCAGCTGATCTGTTTACATACCTTTGCCCTGCATTGTTATATCAAATTGACAGCAGACTTTGTATTGAGCATTTTGACAAACTTTTAGTTGAAGATTTAAATAAGGATAAAAATATGGTTCCTGAAGATAAGGCAAATATAGGGGCATCAGGTAAGATTTAATTTTTTTTCCTCAAAATAGTTGAACTAGAAAATTATTCCAAATTATTGCTTTCCTTTGGGTATCTTTAATATGTTTTAATGTGTATGTTTTTAAAAGATTGAGGAAAGATAGGGGCACAGTACAGTTTAGTTATCTCTCCTGGCATTGCAGAGGAAGGTTTTGCTAGAGAACTAGATTAAAAAGGATATGTAGGTTTGTGATAAATGGATCTTTCTTGATGGGCAAATGTAAAAAATGGGCCCCTAATTAAAATTATTTGGTGTTCTTATTGCTTAACATTTAGCAGGCTTGAGGGCCTCTGGTGAAAAGCTAAGATTATTGTTTTTAAGGAAGTGCAAAGGGAAGCCAGTGTGGTTAAACTCTAGGAATGTCTCAGAAATGCCAACATTTGGCATATGAACTTCATTCATCATGGGCACTTCTAGAGAGTTTCAACTAAGGTAAAACCAAAACTGTTTTAAAACTTCTTTTTAGGCTCTTTTTTTCATATCTAGTTGGCTAAATAGCTCTACTTTGATGTTCACAGATACCTTGTACTTGATCTTTTCAAACTTGACTCCACACATAGTTTGTACCTCTTGCTGAATCTTAAATGCCATTAAAATTTATGCTTTTGATAATATCTGAAAATCTTTTTTCTCTTATGTTTTTGTTTTGTTTCCTTTTTTTCTTGTATAGTCAGTTATCAAGTCCAGTTGAGTCTTCTCTTAAATATCTCCTAACTCTATTCACTGTGTCATAATGCTAGTTCAGGTCCTTCTTGGATTTTCATTGAATTGTTGAAATAACTTTATAACCTTTTCTGCCTATGTTCTTGTCCCCCCTCATAGATCATAATCTTTAGCACTTAAGCTAGTTTGTCTTTCTAAAATGCAAATGAGATTCTCTGATATATAATTTTTTCTTTGTAGTGATAGCTAACATTTTTATTTTCAGTAGTAACTACTATGAATTTCAGGCATTGTTCTAAACTCAATTTATTGATTCCTCACAATAGCCCTATGAAGTAGAGAATGTTATCCTAATAAACTTTGCCAAGGTCTCAGAGCTAGTAAGTGATAATGCTAGGATTCAGGCCTAGGAAGTTCAAGTAATTTTGTTGTCCGTGTACGAAGTGTTGTACATGCTTTTTTCTTTTTATTAAATTTTAATAATCTATTAAATTATTATATGAGGGAGCTGTTATATGATTATTATTGATAAGGAAGCTGGAGTATGATAAGAAAAGTTTAGAAACTTGTCCCAAATTCCTGGCCTTACAGATGATAGAACCCACCAAACCTAAAGTTTGTCTGATAAATCCCCTGGGTAATCTCTGTGCTATCATCTTCCAAATTTAGTTAATTCTGTTATCACCTTGGTGATTGTTGTTGCCATATATCTTTAAACTTTATTTTTCATTAGCTTTCTAGTAGTTTTCTTTATATCTTTTACATTTTAAGCAGTAATATTTGAGAACATGGATTTGATGTGATGAGTTATATTTTAACTCATATATTTTAGGAAACTGCACTATGCTATATTGTTCCAAGTTCAGAGCTCTACTTGGCCAATCACACTTTCTAGAATATAAACCCTGCCTACCTAGCTTCCATTTTTATCCCCCACCGTTCATTTCTTCTTAGCTCTAACCGTAACAAACTCCTGATAATAGGTTATGCTGTTTCTTCCTCATTCTTCCCTGCCTTTTCCCATTCTAAACCTCTCTACTTGACTGACTACTGTGATTCCTCAAAAATTTAGCTCAAGCATTAGTCCCTCTGGGATAATTTACTGATCATCCTAGGATTAATTAGTCCCCTTTCTTGACACCCTCTGGATATTTTCATAATAGTAGAGAGCTTAAGGGCTCTCAATAATTGGATTAGCTATCTGTTTTTGTTGGATTTCAGTTGCTTAAAGGAAGTCACTGGGTCTTTCATCTCAGCATCTCTAGTGCCTAAGATAAAGGGTACTTCGGACAAAAAGTAAGCACACATGTATTGATTGAATTGATTAATTTCTTTTTTTTTTTTTATCCTCACCTGAGGATATTTTTCCATTTTTTGTACAGATAGAGTGGGAGGGAGGGAGAGGAAGGGAGAGAGAGAGAGAAACATCGATGTGAAGGGACACATCGAGTGGCTGCCACCCGCACGACCAACCAGGGCCGGGGACAAACTGCAACCGAAGTACGTGCCCTTAGCGGGAACCGAACCCGGGTCTCTCCGGACCGCAGGCCGACGCTCTAACCGCTGAGCCAAACTGGCCAGGGCGAATTGATTAATTTCTTAATACTAGTCTATAAGCATTCAATTATAACCCAGGAAAGACACTTGTTGAAAATGAGTCTTTGAAGATCATCTTATGACTATATCAATTAGCCTAATATACTTATGCAGATAATATTCTGTGACTGGGATTTTCTTGTGCAAAATCATGATGACCACAGTACTGGTTGAAATACCTAAGTTGTAGTGATACTATTGCCTAGTTATGACTAAATTGATATGTATAAATATGGGCTAAAACAATTCTGATAAGATAAAAGATTGAAAGAACAGATTTTAATATTTTTTCTTAGTTTACTAATAAGATTTAAGAATATATTTTATTATGTGAGTTTTACTTGGGATAGAGATATTCCCTAAAGCTTGAAAAGAGTACAAATGAAATGCTCTCAAAGTATGTCTTTTAGGTACTACCTATTGGTTAATTTCTTTCCAATAGGAAAATAACTTTAAAATAGATAAATTAATTACAATAACCTATATTTATTGAAACCTTACTATGTGCTACTCTAAACACTTTTCCAAGTTTTTTGTTTTGTTTTGTTTTTGTTTTTTTTTAATCCTCACCCGAGGATATTTTTCCATTTTTTGTACAGACAGAGTGGGAGGGAGAGAGAGGAAGGGAGAGAGAGAGAAACATCGACGTGAAGGAACACATCGAGTGGCTGCCACCCGCACGACCAACCAGGGCCGGGGACAAACTGCAACCGAAGTACGTGCCCTTAGCGGGAACCGAACCCGGGTCTCTCAGGACCACAGGCCGACGCTCTAACCGCTGAGCCAAACTGGCCAGGGCCTTTTCCAAGTTTTTAATATGCTTAATATAATTGTTAAACCCATGAGATAGGCACTTTTATTAACTTCTATTTGCTGAGGAAAGAAGGCTTTGAGAAATTAACTAACTTTCCTAAGGTCATTTAGCTGCCAGGTAGCAGAGCCTAATAGGAACTAGAATGTTCTCTATCTAAAAGCCTATGTAGTATCAGAAAGAGAAACTAAGAAAACAATCTCATTTACAATTGCGACAACAAAAAATAACATACTTGGGAATACATTTACCCAAGGAGGTAAAAGACCTGTACTCAGAACACTATCATACTGAAGAAAGAAATTGAGGAAGATACAAATAAGTGGAAGCATATACCATGTTAATGAATAGGAAGAATTAACATCATTAAAATGTCCATACTACCCAAAACAATCTATACATTCAACACAATTTCTATGAAAATATCAGTGGCATATTTCACAGAACTAGAACAGATATTCCAGAAGTTTATATGGAACACAAAGACCCAGAGTAGCCTCAGCAATCTTGAGAAAGAAGAACAAAATTGGAGGTATTATGCTACCTGATATCAAACTATACTACAAGGCCATAGTAATCAAAACAGCATGATACTGGCATAAAAACAGATCAGTAGATCAATGGAACAGAATAGAGAACCCAGAAATAAACCCTCACCTTTATGGTCTATTAATATTTGACAAAGGCAAGAACATAATGAGGTGAAAATAACCAATTCAAGAAATGGTGCTGGGAAAATTGGACAGGAATATGCACAAAAGTGACACTAGACCACTTCTTATACCATACATAAGAATAAACTCAAAATTTATTGAAGATTTAAATATAAGACTCGAAACCATAAAAATCCTAGGAGAAAACATAGGCAGTAAAATAGACATTTGCCGAGGCAGTGTTTTTTCTGATATCTCTCTTTGGGCAAGGGAAACAAAAGAAAAAATAAACAAATGGGACTGTATCAAACTAAAATGTTTTGCAGAGCAAAGGAAACCATCAACAAAATGAAAAAACAACCCATTGAATTGGAGAACATATCGATCAGTGATACATCTGATAGGGTTAATATCCAAAATTTATAAAGAACACAAACAACACCAAAAGAACAGTCCAATTAAAAAATGAGCAAAGGACCTGAATATACATTTCTCCAAAGAAGACATACAGATGGCCAGTACATGAAAGATGCTCTACATTACTATCATCTGAGAAATGCAAATTAAAACCACAATGAAATATCAGCTCACACCTGTCAGAATGGTTCTCATCAATAAGTCAACAAACAAAAAGTGGTGGCGAGGATGTGGAGAAAAGGGAACCTTTGTGCACTGTTGTTGGGGATGCAGATTGGTGCAACCACTGTGGAAAATAGTATGAAGTTTTCTTATAAAATAAAAAATGGAACTGCCTTATGACCCAGCGATTTCTACTTCTGGGAATATATCCAAAGAAACCCAAAACACTGATTTAAAAGAATACATGCACCCCTATGTTTATTACAACATTATTTACAATAGCCAAGATTTGGAAGCAGCCCAAATAAATGAGTGGGTAAAAAGTGCTGATATATTTACATAGTGAAATACTACTCAGCCATAAAACAGGGAAATCCTACCTTTTGTGACAGCATGGATGGACCTAGATGGTATTCTGCTAAGTGAAATAAATCAGTCACTGATCTTTGTAGATAAGTAAAGAGCTAGAGAGCCACAGTCTTAGGTGCTTCTAAATTTTCTCTCTGATAGGAGAGAAGGAGAAGGTAGTCCTGAGATTATTTAACTTAATTAAAAATAAAAGTCATTTGTTTTTTATAGGGAAAAACAGACTGATGAGATTGTCACATCTAGGGTTGAAATTAATAGCCATTTTTATTTTTAAGGCTTCAAAAAATTTTACTTTTTTGCTTCAACATCAACTATAGATTATGACTTAGAGTTTTCTATGTTGTAGTACAGTCAGCCACCCCTTGTTTATCATGGTTAATCAGTTCCAGACTCTACCACGATAAATGAATTTCTGCGAAGTAGGATTCTTTCTTTATACTTACAGTCGTCCCTTGCCACTTCACGCTTCAGCTTTCGTGGCTTTGCTCTATCGTGGTTCTATATAGTAAAATCTGTTGACAGATGCTTGACTAGTAATATTGAAAATTGAAGTTTAATCTGAAAACCTTTGAAGACAAATACATTACTAATAGTGAATATCGATTACTTGTTTGCAGTGGTTATGAACATTGTCAGAAATAAAGATTGAATTAATTATGTCCTAATAGATGTTAATAATTGTTAGAGAGAAAACCCTGCTAGAAATTATTTTTAATGACTGCTGTACCATTAAGAAAGGTTAACTTGTTCTATATAAATCTCCTGCAGTGACAAAGCTACTACCTCATTAACTGTTCAAAGACTGCTGTAAACCAAATACGCTTTGTACTGTGTATGGTAGATATCATTTATATCACAAGATTGGCTCATTTAGTCATAGAGTTGACCCTAGTTTAATTACCAAGGGGGGTTGTGAATAAGTCGCTAAACATTTTCTGCCAATTAAAATGCTGAAACAGTATAGAAAACTGCCATCTTGCATATGCTTTGAACCAAGTTAATTAGGAAGTTTCCACAGATGAGCGCTTCTTTTTAAAAGAATGCATTTTCTCTCTAGATAATGAGAAAGGGAGTTGGTGAATAACTAAGCTTGAAGACCTTTAATGTTTTAAGCGACCTAATTTGCAGAATAAGTGAAGCTTGTTTCAGACATATAGTGGGTTGTGTGTGTGTGTGTGTGTGTGTGTGTGTGTGTGTGTTTTATTGCATTTGGTATCTTGGGTACAAGTAAAGAAAACATTTGCTAGTTGTATTTAGTGGTTTGTATATTGTTAGTTTGGTATAAGTTTTATAAAAGTTGCCACCCCTTTTTTTATTGACTGATTTTAGAGAGAGAGAGGAAGTGTGGGGGGGTGGATATAGATTGGAGAGAGAAGCATGGATCAGCTGCCTCCTGCATGCCCCTACCAGGAATGAGCCTGAAACCCAGGCATGTGCCGTGAAACCTAACTGGCAACCTTTTGGTGCGTGGAATGACGCTCAACCCAGCCAGGGCAAAAGATGCCTTTTATTATTCTTGTTTTTTTATTTGTTTTTGTTTTATACCAAGTAAATGTGATTGGAAAAGCACAGTAATTTGGTTAGAAATCAGAAGAATTTTATAACCCCCAAATTTTTTTTTCCATCACCTAGGAAATTATGATAGAGTTTACTTAAGCTTAAATGCAAATATATATATATATATTTTTTTTAATCCTCACCCGAGGATATTTTTTCCATTTTTTTGTACAGATAGAGTGGGAGGGAGGGAGAGGAAGGGAGAGAGAGAGAGAAACATCGACGTGAAGGGACACATCGAGTGGCTGCCACCCGCACGACCAACCAAGGCCGGGGACAAACTGCAACCAAAGTACGTGCCCTTAGCGGGAACCGAACCCGGGTCTCTCCGGACCGCAGGCTGACGCTCTAACCACTGAGCCAAACTGGCCAGGGCAAATGCAAATATTATTAATCATAAAAGGTTATACATATGTTTTTAAGTAGTAAGTTTTACAGAAAGCCAAATTGGAGGAAAGAGAGTTTGGAACTGTGTGGAGGAGCGATGATTTCAAGGAAAACAACTGAGTTATCCTTGTAAAAATAAATGAAATACAGTAAAGCTACCAATAATAAGATTTTTTTGTATGTCATGTGAATATATTTCCATTTTGGGCTGATATGTAGTATCTTAAACTTTGTATTAGAAAGATTTACAAAGATTACAGTACATTAGATACTTGGTTTCCTTCAATGCACACTGGAGAGGTTTATAATTGTATCCTTTAAATGAACAGTTTTATTGCTGTGGCTCTGCCTTTAGAATTCTTAAATTTTTATTTATAGTCTAGACATTAAAGGTGAATCACAGCTTTAAGTCATTTTAAGTTCCTGTTTCTGATAAGGTGGGCTACTGAAAGATACTATATATAATTTGGTCTGAGTTTCTTAATTCTTTTTTTGTAAGTATTCAAGTTAGTTATATGCTTATTTATATTGTTTTTAAGCATAGCAGTGCCAGAATATAAAGCTTCTTAAAAAGTATAGTCTGAGTAGGATAATGTGTTGTCCATGATTTATTTATCTTATGTTTATTCTTCTTGGGAGTTTTTTGGTTTATATTGTCATACTAATGTTGACTATTAATTTCTTTTCCTACAGCATGGATTTGTGGTATCATTTCTGTCACTGTCATTAGCCTGCTTTCCTTGCTAGGCGTGATCTTGGTTCCCATCATTAACCAAGGATGCTTCAAATTTCTTCTCACATTCCTTGTTGCTCTAGCTGTAGGAACAATGAGTGGAGACGCCCTTCTTCATCTACTGCCCCATGTAAGAAATCCTTTTAAACTTAAAAAAATTAAAATATTTAAGCTAAAAGGGTCTTTCACTAGCAAACTGTAGCACAGAAATCTAGTATTTGTGCTATTTTATTTGCTAAATAGGGTCAAGTTTTTTTTTTTTTTTTTTCATTTGAACAATTTTAATAGCAATATTTTTAAAATGAATCATTAGGTTTTTTTAAAAAATGTTTTTAATTGATTTTTAGAGAGAGGAAAGGAGAAGGAGACAGAGATAGAAACATCAATGAGAGACATTGATTGGCTGCCTCTTGCCCACCCCCTTTTGGGGATCAAACCCACAACCCAAGCATGTGCCCTGACCGGGAATGGAACCAGTGATCTCTTGGTGCAGGGGTCAACACTTAACCACTAAGCCACACTGGCTGGGTGGCTGAGTGAATCATTAGGTTTTAAAATAGCAAAATAAATAAATAAATAATACCAGTTTTATGTTCACCTGTCACAATGTATACATATCAAATCACCACAATGTACACTTTATTTATTTATTTTTTTATCCTCACCCGAGGACATTTTTCGATATTTTGTTCAGATAGAGTGGGAGGGAGGGGGAGAGAGAGAGGGAGAAACATCGATGTGAAAGGGACACATCGAGTGGTCGCCACCCACATGACCCAACCAGGGCCGGGGACAAACCGCAACCGAGGTACGTGCCCTTAGCGGGAACCGAACCCGGGTCTCTCCAGACCGCAGGCCAATGCTCTAACCGCTGAGCCAAACCAGCCAGGGCACAATGTACACTTTAAATATCTTAAAATTTTATAGGTCAATTATACCTTAGTAAAGCTAATTTTAAAAAAAATTTTTCTCTATCAGTAGTTCTAAAAATAAATACTTAGAAATCAATGAGTGCCCTGGCCAGTTTTGTTCAGCAGTTAGAACATCGGCCTGCAGTCCAGAGAGACCCGGGTTCAGTTCCCGCTAAAGGCACATACCTCGGTTGCAGTTTGTCCCTGACCCTGGTTGGGTCGTGCAGGTGGCAGCCTTTGGATGTGTCCCTTTCATGTTGATGTTTCTCTCTCTTCCTCTCTTCCTCCCACTTTATGTGAACAAAAAAATGGAAAAATGTCCTTGTGTGAGGATAATAAAAAGAAATCAATGAGTGATTATATCTTTTTATCTGTATATCAAGAAAGCCTTTACAAGAAATGTATGAGAGATCTTAAATGATCATGCATATAACCAGTGTGCCACAGACATCTTTCTTTGAGCAGGAATAGGAAGTCCTATTCAGTTAGCTGTTATAGGCATGTAGCTCTTCACATACTTGGCCATTTATCTTTTCACCTGGCATACCTTTTGTTTTCTAACATTTGGTTATACTTCAAATGGTATGATCGTAAGCCCATATTCCTTGTGCCTTGATTATACCTTTTAAAATCTGTTGCCAGTTAAGAGTATTTGGTCTATTATTGTTTTTATGTCACATTATGAAAATAGTTGGGCTTTTTTGGGAGAAACAAAAGCCAAATTTATTTGTTCATTTCTTGCATTTGAAGTACTCCTCGATGACATCCTTTGCCTGAGATTCTTTGCAATAGTCCTTAACCACAGCACAACTGCAGCCAACCACTTGCCTGAGTTTTCTCTCTCTGTCGATTTTGCAGAGTCCTACCCATTCCCCTAGTTTCTTTTAGGTTAACCTTAATTAAGTTGATCTGGGTTTAGCACAAAGGGCCTCCACCAACGTGACCTACATAGGCTCATCACAGTTGGATGCAAGCACACAAGGTGGGCTTGGCACTTGGCTAAGGCTTTGGCAACTTTGCGAATTCCAAGTGCTGGGCCATCGTGCTGGGCCACTGCTTTAACCTCTGTTAAAGCAATATTAACATCCATTACACCTCCAGCGTCAATGCCTTTCTGGCCACGGTGGTGGGTTATGGGTAGAGCCCAATCTTGAACATGCCCAAGCCTCTGCTTTTGCGCAACTCTTCCGCAACAGGGAAAGAGCAATAGTGTGGCTTTTTAATTCCAAATGTAATATTACAGGTTTGATTTTTGTTTTGTTTTTTAATATTCTCACTACCTCCCTTCTGGAGTATGTAGGAGACAGAGTTGTTCTTGTATGTTGTGTGTACTTCTTCTCTCCTGCATTGTTGGTTGAGAATTCCAGATCTAGTATCTAGAACAGTGTATGGCATTGTCTTTTTAAAAAATTAATCTTGCCTGGCCAGTGTGGATTGAGCATTTTCCCATGGACTGAGAGGTCCCTGTTGGATTCTTGCTCAGGGCACATGCCTGGGTTGTGGGCTCGATCCCCAGTAGGGGGTGTGCAGAAAGCAGCCACGCATGTATCTCTCTTACATCAATGTTTTTATCTCTCTCAAAATAAATAAACAAAAACATTAAAAAAAATTAATTTTGCCCTGGCCAGTGTTCTCAGTGGTTAGAGCATCAGCCCTTGAACCTAAGGGTCCAAGGTTTGATTCCCAGTTAAGGGCATGTACCTGGTAGCCATGCACCCCAGTTGGGGCGCATGCAGGAGGTAACCAATGGGTGTGTTTCACATCAGTGTTTCTCTCTCTCCTCCTCTGTCCCTCCCTTCCTGAAAATCAATGGAAAAAATATCCTCCAGTGAGGATTAACAAGAAAAAAAATTAGTCTTAAAATTTAATATAAAAATTTATTTATTTTATGTTATTTACTTATTTTCCCCTTTATTCCCACCCCTTGCTTGCCCTTTCTGCCAGCCATCAGGAAAGCCACAGTCTGTTTTAGAACTGGGCCTAATAAGAACAGTTGAAGTTAGAACAAAGTTTAACGGCTGTTTAACTTATTCTTTTCTTAAATGTTAATTAAATAAAGCTAATTTTTTAATGGTCTTACCTCCTTTGAGAGGTTTAGAAACCTTTTCCGTTGACCACTAGCAAATGGAGAAAGAATACAAATTGTTATAAGCAAGGAAAATACTTAAGAATATTTCTCAAATGTAAAGTTCTATAAGATTAATATTTTGAAACCTGTACCTTTCACAATGAAGTATTATTTTATTTCCACACATACATTTATTTTTGCTAAAGTTTTAAAATATAGAAAATTAAGCACATATGCCAATGTACACTTTTGTATAATCAGTTTAAGAAAAAGTAAGATTACAAGGAGTCACAAGTGATCACTTACCTGCTGGTGAATTTGTTTGTTTTATTTTTTACTAAATATTAGGTCTTTATCTGGGTCATATTCACTAAAATTTACAAAGAACCCATCATTCCCTATGATCTCACTGCTGATTTGGTTCTTACACTGTAGTATATATCTTAACCCCTATCAGCATTTGTGTTTGTGGTCTTTGTTTTAGAGTTACCATGAAATGTAGTACTTTCCAAGCTACTAAGTATAGCAAAATTAAATGGAAGACTACTTATATTTAAGTGAGATAATATTTAGGGAGCACTTTAAAAATTAAAAATATTTTTTCTGTATGCTCTAGGAGATTATAATCTCAGAATTTAAAATAGCATTTTAACTACTTGTTTAGAAGTTTTTTTTCTTCTTAATAACAGTCTCAGGGTGGACATGATCACAGTCATCAACATGCACACGGGCATGGACATTCTCATGGACACGAATCTAAGAAGTTTTTAGAAGAATATGATGCTGTATTGAAAGGACTTGTCGCTCTAGGAGGCATTTACTTATTATTTATCATTGAACACTGCCTTAGAATGTTTAAGCACTACAAACAGCAAAGAGTAAGTACTTTTTAACTGTTTCTTTCATTTTCTGGGATGTAAAACTCAAAACAAAGACCGTCATTTTCTGGCCATATGCTTAATTATAGTGCCGTTAATGTGTATTAAATCTGTCTTTTAATCGCTTATCTTCACAATAATAAATGTCATTTATTTTGGTATTTAGAGTCAAGATAGCAGTCTCAGTCTCAGATAATTTGTGTCTCATTGACTTAAAAAGGATGGAAAAGCTATTGGTCAATTTATGCTTATAAAAATGCAAAAATATATAAATAGAAGCAAGTTTCATCAGTCTTCATAGGTACTATTTTAAGTATAAGTGGCTTTTATTGTTCTATATTTTAATGAGAATGTTTTCAAACAACATACTTCTTTATCAGGAAAGCCTTGCCCATGGTAGAAGTACTAGAGGGGACAAGAATTTAGATTCGGGGGCTTTGTAGGAAGAAAATGTGATGACATGAAAGAAATGATGTTTCTTTGCAAGAGTGATAGACCATTTGGGAGATGATACTTGGACTGTTGATCAAACCCTGCTTGTCATGAACTGTGTTTCATGTCACATTTATGAGAGTAACACAAATATCTGAAAGAATTTCTCCCCCATGCCCTGGCCGGTTTGGCTCAGCGGTTAGAGCGTCAGCCTGCGGACCAGAGTGTCCTGGGTTCAGTTTCTACTAAGGGCACGTACCTCGGTTGCAGTTTGTCCCCGGCCCTGAGGAGGTCATGTAGGTGGCTACCAGTCAATGTGTCTCTCTTACTTCGATGTTTCTCTCTCAATCTCTTTCTCTCTCACTCCCTCCCGCTCTATCTGAAGATAAATGCAAAAATCTCCTCAGGTGATGATTAAAAAAAAAAAAGAATTTCTCTCCCAAGAAGGTTAAGTTCAGGGCTACTACCATTCACCATGATTACACCCCTCCCTGTTCACATTGATTTAGTGTGGATATAAAGCTCTATCTTGAATATATCTCACTAACATGTTTGTGATACTGATGCTGATTATCTTCAGTATAAGTAAATCTTATACAATTTTACAGAACATTTTTAGGAAGCTTTCTACAAAAAAGGGTTAAAGATTCTTATTACATTTTGTTAGTTAACTATAAATATTCAAAAAATAAATCTTTTTCCCCCCTGAAGAACATTGGATAGTCATGATCAGAATATATATAGTCCACACTTATGATACAACTTCTATACTATTTTTATGGATATATTTTTTGGTATGTGTATATGTTTTGTATATATCTCCTCGAGACAGAAGGAATCATTTATAATAGCGCTCTGAAGTGGGATTCAAGGGGAGTGATTCTAGTTCTTGCTCAGCCACAAACTAGCTGTGAAACTGTGATTCATTCCACATGATTTCCAGTTGCTATCTAAATCTATTAGAAATAAATCTTCTCATTTTTATTTTTATGTCGTATTCCAAGTAGTGTATTTAATTTTAATGGCCATAGTTTAGTGCGGACAACATCATATTTCATTGCCTCCAAAGGAGAGGTGATTGAGATGGTATGCAAGGGAAGAGCTCTCTGAGGAATGGGAAGGATCAACTTATAGAAAAGTAAGAGATTTAACAGCATTTGGGTTTGGAAGGGTTATGGAAGGTCATGTGGATGGGTGAAGAATGGAATTGTGGGAAGGATGCCAAGGTAAGAGTGGCCAGAGGGGGAGTCAGCGAAGGAGATGACTGTCAAGTTATTCAGAAGAGAGGTGATGTGGGCTCGCACCAAAGTCATGGCATGAGGAATGGGGAAGAGGTGATTAAGAGGACTGTTAAAATGAAAGAATCAACAAGAAGACTTGATATTTGATTAGATGTAAGAAATACAAGAATTTAGAGTCCATCTCTGTGAATACCTAATTGAGAACACAATTGTATACTATATAGTTTACAAACTATATAAAGGAGTCTTGGAATTACCATGAAGCCCAGATTTTTTTCAGTTGTGTATACTTACTAACATTAAAGCAGCAGATATTAAATATTCAATATGTGTAATTTTTAGGGACTGTATACTTTACAAATAAGTTCAAAATAAATAAATTTTCTTTTTTTATAAATTAATCTCGATCTTATTTTGAACCTAAATTTACTGGCAAATGAAACACATTTATTTTTGTAAAGTAAACTAATGTAGGAAAACAGAGTCCAAAATATATGGCAGCTATTTTGTAAATTTGAAATTGTAGGAAATAAAAAACTGAAGGGATATCTTGGCAGAGGTGTTTTGCAGATCTAGTAATGAGGAATTTTTCAAGCAAATCAAAGAAAGGAATCTAGGCAGATAAGCCAGTGCATGTCCTTTATGATAAACAGGACAACAAAGTAATCTCAGATGAAAAAGTATAGACTTTTTTTTTTAAGAAAGGAGATTAGTGATACTTGAATAGAACATTGTCTCATAGAAAAATCAACTATTGGAAGGAAGCTTTCAGAGCATACATTAAATAATACACCAGATGATGGTTTCAGTAGGACTGAGGCTTTGAGGGTAATGATTTGGCAACTTTTTAGGTAAGTGGACAGTCAGAATCAAAACAGTCGAGCAGAATCCTGGCTGGTGTTCACATTTTATTTACTTTCTGTATCCCTCTCATTGACTCTTGCACCGTTGTTGGCTCCTCCTTCTTCCTTTAGTTTTTCCTCTTCATTGACTCATGACTGTTGTTTCTTCTCTTCTCTTTAGGATGTCTCCATATTATTTTCTTTTGAACATTTTCTGTTTCCCCAGTTTCTGTTATTTATTGCTGTGAAGCAGGACAACCCAAAACTTAATGGCCTGTATCAAAAATTTATTATTTCTCTTAATTCTGTCAGGAATTTAGGCAAGATTCCTCTGGGCAGGATTTTTGCTTTACTTGGTGTCAGCTAGAGTCACCTGCTTCTACATTCAAACTCAGTTGGCCCAGGCAGGGCAGGGCTGAAGTTCCTAGATTGTTTCATTCTAAGTCTGTATGTCTACATCTTGATTCTCCCCCACACGCATGGCCTGTCATCAAAGTCTAGACTGGGCTTCTTCATGACATAGTGGCTGGTTTCTCTGAGCAGAAGCAAAACGTGCCAGGCCTCTTTCAGACTAGTTCCAGAATTGGCACAGCATCACTTCTAGTGCATTCCGTTGGTGAAGGCAAGTCAAACGGTCAGCCAAAATTCAGGGGCAGGGGAATACACTGTATGTTCTTATGGGTGGAGAAGAATGCTCAGACAGGGAGGCAAGAAATTGAGGGTGGCAATCTCAGAGAACTCAATTACACACTCATCTAGCCATAGCAGGCCTTACTTTAATGCAGCAGTTAGAAGACTTAAACGTCTGATACATACTTTACAGCCTGTGAGCAAAACCAACTACAAGAAAATGCTCTGCCAGTCAGTAAGCGTCTCCCAGAGAATACTGTTTTTTACTTTCACACTGTTCTTTAGCATTCTGTATTGTTTGTTCTCTTACGTTAACATAGATTAGAAGTAGAACTTCAAGTTGGAAGAGTTGCCAGTGGTAGTTACATTGATAAAAGAAGAAAGCAGACTATTAAGAGATACGATAGGAAAATTCAAACCTAAACAATAAATATAATAATTAGAATTTATGAGTAATTGAGGACAGATGAGATGAGAAACAAAACTTGTCTTTATTGCAAAGCTTAGGTCAATTACTTATAGGTCATTTTCATACATCGCCTCATTTGATCCTCATAATCTATCATTTTCATTTTACAAACGAGTATTATGTTTAATAAATTTAACAAAGTCTTATAGAAATTAACTGCAAACTTGGTGTTTTAACTCGTTTGACTCTTCATTATGTCACAAATAAGGAAATGTGCGATTGCATTAATCACAGAATAAAATTCAAAGGAATATGCATTCGTTTTTGGAACTTCCTATTCCCATTCACTTAGATAAGAGAGATTACTTATTTCACACACTTCATTTGGGTTGCATATAATATAGTATTGTGCATCCTATTTTTTAAAACTTTGAGTTAGATGAATTTGAACCATTTAGTTGATTATTCAAAAAAATACCAACATACAAATACAGTTGGATTTTTCATTTGGTTAAACCCTCGATTAACTTCTGAAATTTTCTTCTCATTTCTTTACTAAATTATGTATAGAGTTACCACCAATTATCCCCATAGATATTAATAAGTGAATAATGTTGCTAATTGTGGTTGCAGCTTTGATACTAATACCAGATTTTTTTTCCCCCAGGGGAAACAGAAATGGTTTATGAAGCAGAGCACAGAAGAATCAAATATTGGAAGGAAGCTTTCAGATCACAAGTTAAATAATACACCAGACGCTGACTGGCTTCAGCTCAAGCCTCTTGCCGGTAGACAACAGTTCTGACTAAAAAGAAACTTAAAACATAACAATTGAAATATCGCTTCTAAACTGTGTCTGTGTTGTTTGAAATTTCTTGTCTTTGTGGCTTTCTTAATTTTAGTTTCTAACTTGAATTTTCTTAATTGCGAGTGTATCTTAATTGCGAGTGCTTTTGTTAGTTTTTAGTTCATTTCAGCTTTATTTAAACTGGAATGTGGGTCCGATTAATTATATTACAGGGCAAAAAAAGCCATACTGTACTTTTACTTTACAGAAAAACAAAGAATGAAACAAACAAAAAGACTTTATAAGTGGAAGATTAGTGCAAATGTTATTTCTTGGCAATGCAGGATCTTTGTGCCCTCCACATGTGAGGGTTTCCTGTGGAAAAAGGAGAGTCAGCCTTTGTAATGAAAGGAGAGCAGTCTCTGCACTTAGAGTCTCTGCTCATCCATCCATCTAGTCCGTTGCCTGATAGATGTAATATGGTAGCTTACAGTTTTTAGGGAAACATAAAAAAATTAAATCTAATATTTCCCCTGAGTGTACCAATGATTTTCTGCAGAAAAGAGGTGACCTAGACTCTAACTGTAGACTCTGTCCCAAAATACAATTTTGAAAGTATTAGTATCTTTGTCACATAATAAATAGCTTTTGAAAACTAGGTAAGAGGCTAACCTCAATTTAAAAACAAACAAACAAACAAAAAAAACAGATTTTATTTATATGAATTTCTGAACTTCATTCTAGTAATGATCTGAGTAGTATTGTCAGATAGGTGGAACATTGAAAGATGTAAATTATTTAAATTTGTGTTTTCTCACATGATAAGAGGATTACAGTGAGTAAACGAAGGTTGATTCTTTCTCTGAAAAGTTAGGGATGCATTTTATTACCTATAAATGCTACAGTAACTTTTCAACCTTTGATTTTCATCAGCTGTTCATGATGTACTCCTTAAGTTCCCCAATATCTTCAGCCTTTCTCCTCACTTTGCTTGCTATTGCTTTCAGTTTTCTCCATCATCTGGTGCACCTTTTGGACCCTCAGAACCCCAGTTTTGTGTGTGTGCTCACACATATTTATTTTATTTGTTTTTATATACTTATTTAGTGAATTTTAAAAGACATTCACTTAAGAAATGTTCATTACAATGCTAATCTGCCTGGGTTTAAATGAGCAAATATGCATTTATTTACTTGCTTATTTACTATTATAAATATAGGAACTGATGACTCGGTTGTTTCTGAAGATCGACTTAATGAAACTGAACTGACAGATTTAGAAGGCCAACAAGAATCCCCTCCTAAAAATTATCTTTGTGTAGAAGAGGAGAAAATCATGGACCATTCTCACAGTGATGGATTCCATACCATTGATGAGCATGATCTCCATGCTGCTACACATAACCACCATGACGAGAATAAAACTGTGCTGAGAAAACATAATCATCAGTGGCACCACAAACATTCTCATCACTCACACGGTCCCTGTCATTCTGGGTCAGATCTGAAAGAAACAGGAATAGCTAATATAGCTTGGATGGTAATCATGGGGGATGGCATCCACAACTTCAGTGATGGGTTAGCCATTGGTAAGTTCACCAGAAACTTTGTTCTAGTGTGTTGTTCTTTAAGACCGTTTTCCACTCTTTCAGTACTAATCTTGTAAACTATACTATATAAGATTAAAATCTGGAGCTTAACAAATACTATTATATATTACTCCTGTCATTTGGTTTTTTCTAAAGACTATGTTAATATGTTTGATGAATTTAATTGGGGACATAAAGGTATAATTTCAGATATTTTTTGAACATGTAAACAGGTGTCTATAATATGCTTCTTTTTTGTGATTCATACTAGTATCTTTATTTTTGTATGTGTGTAAACTTTTTAAATGAAATTTATTAGAATTATACTTCTTTAATAATTTTATTCAAGACATTGTTACCATATTGAAAAAGTTACCTTAACCTTATATTTTCAAATACATTCACATATGCCCAAATGAGAACAAATTAATTGTAATATTTTTACATCTAAAAAGGTGAAAAAAAAGTTTTATATTTAAAAATCCATTGTACCAGATTCAAATATATTAGAATCATGCTAATGTAAATTGATAGTGCCAGTTTAGAAAGACATGATTATTACATCATTTTTTTTTGAAATCCAGACTCTATTAAATAGCTACTCAGAAATAGGCTTTGGTATCTTTCAGAAAGGAGAGACGATATTTTTGAATCCACAGTGGCTGTCAATGTTTTACTAGTAGAATTAGATGTTTTGTTTTGTTTTTACTACAGTTAGATTTTACTGGTAGAATTAGATGCATTTATACCTCTGATCTCGGTCTTAACACCATCAGACAAATACTTACTTGTACCTTTTGTGCTCTAGACCCAGAAAAATTTGGACAAGGATACTAGCTATTTAATTGTCTATAAATGAACTTATATGGGTTAAAATTGAATATCAGACTGCTACTCAGAGATTGAAATACTGAAAACCATTACTGCTTCCAAGCTATTAGTGAGTGAAAAGGCTACACTACTAGAAATTTTAATTCAATAGGGAATATTTCTTTCACTGAGGAGCTCTTCTTCTGGTTGTCAATGCTTGTTGAATCTCACTATGTATTCAAAAACCATAGTTTTAAGGTAAGTCGGTCACTCATATATTATGAAATTAGTTTAGATAGGCAAAAGAGTCTGCACCTGTCATGACAATGGAAAAATAAGATCGATAAACATGACTTACTATTTTTCCCCTCCCTCACCCCAGGAGCAGCTTTCAGTGCTGGACTGACGGGAGGAATCAGTACTTCCATTGCTGTCTTCTGTCATGAACTGCCACATGAATTAGGTAAGATAACCTTTAAAATTTTACCACATTCTAGCAAATCTAAGACTTCAATTATAAATGCATCCACAATTTAGAAGTGTCAAAAATTAAATAGTGGTTTATGGCAAGCATAGTTTCATTATTTTCATACTGTATAATTTTTGTGATATGCTCCTAAAAATGTGTACAAGAGTATGTTATATCCCATTCTTTTTTTCCTTATGTTACTAATCATTGTTTTTAAATTCCATCCAGGTTACCATGAGTTATTTTAATACGTAGCTTCTGCCCAGTGCTCAGAGGTGTTGCATTTACTACATTTTGCATATTTAGTACCTAGTATTAGACACACCACATGACCTTTAATTTCTTGCCACCACACATAATGGTGTGTTGAACATCTGTAGACTTGTTGCTCACAGACCCTGTGAGGACACCTTTTGGGTGTATACCCAGGAACAGAAAAATGATATTTCTTTGTTGTTTTAGTTGGTATTTATTGATCTACCAATGAATTTCTAGTTTCCCTTCAAATATTTTGGTTTTCTTCTATAACTTGAAAAACAAATAAAAATTTTGAACATGCATTCATATTGAAAATAGCTGAGAGATGTGGAAATGACATTAATTTGAAAGAAAAAGAACTGACTTCATCTTTTGAATATCCAAAGAAGTTCTTAACGTTTTTCTTACATTTATCTGGCTGTGTGACTGTATTCATGCTAGGGAAACCTCAGCTTCCCTTCCTGTCCACCCACTACCTTCATTGGAGTATGTCAAGCTACTTCATGGTTTGCTCTGGTTTTATTGAATTGCCCTAACCCCCCAGGATCCATGTGGGCACAGAATTTTCTGTCTGTAGTTTCTTGTCTCAGGAGTGACACACACGGAATGAGAGCCACATGTAAAACAAATGCAGTGCATGCTAGGTAAGCCCTAGATACTCAGTGCAGAGCTGTAGCCAAAGCTGGATTATCGAGTTCTGCTCGGCTTTGGCCAGGACTCCTCACGTTCAGACCCCAGATCGCTTCCTCTTTTACCCCACAAACCAGAGATTGAGATGTTACTATTGCCGTGAGAGGAAACATCAGTCCCTTCGTACATGTAAATGAACTTTGTCAGAAGGAAAGGAGTGAGACCTTATGAAGAGGCGTATTTTCCCCCTGTGCCTAGTAATAATTTGACATAAACTACCCCGTATTCTAGCTGCCTAGGCTCCTAGGAAAGAAAGAACATAAAGAAAGTACCCATCTTCCTTTCCTGAGGTGACAGAAAAAACTTTGGCCCTTGTATTTATCAAAAAGGTAGGAAGTGGTCTGCCTATAGTGGACTATAACTAAAGGAAGTTTAAAAAAACAGACATGGCGGAGCCTAATTTTTGCCTTCCAGGCCCTGTAATGGGGCACTTTGGTAAAACAGGGCCAGATGAATGTCTCTACTCTGATTCTATTGTTCGTTCTTACCTGGAGAGGAACAAAATATAGAGAGAGGCACAGAAGCTTCTTTCTCAGAACTTAAATCAAGGGGAAAATCAGTCCCCAGAGGCTGAGATAGAAGAGTGACAGGTAGATGGGGAGAAATACTCTCCCGACTTCACAGGTTGATAATACAGCATAATACATCACATTCCAGGATAATTTACTTGATCTAAAACCTTTTTTTGCCCTAGTTAAATTTCTGATTATGAATTCTTAAAATTATTTTGAGATTTCCATACTAAAGTCATACCCCAAGAGGGAAAACGTGTATTTAAATTACATTGCAGTGGTTGGAGACTGACCCTTAGTAATTCCAAGGTTCAATTTTCTTCTGAGCAGATCTCTGTTTCTCTAATGGTGTACCAGGAAAGGGGTTTGTTTGTGCTTAGGAATGTGCTATAGAAAACCTGTACTTGTAAAACTTACAACATCTAGTTCATAATGTTCACTCTGAGAGGCATACAGAAATGGAAACCATCTGAGGAAATGGAAAGTCCATATAATCTCATTTCATGTTTGCTCAGGTGTGGTAATGAATGAAATTATTTGAATTATTGCTACTCTTCTGTTTTTGCAAAACTTGTGTATTTAAATTTAAGTAAGTTGCAATATTACTCTTTTGTATTCTCTCCACTTTTTTCTACCCTTTCAATAGAAGCTGTATAAACATTTGGAAAATAATTTATAAGAAAATTTATGTAAGAACATATAAAGAGGAATGAGGTTGGAATAATCTGGAAAGGTAGATAATCCAAACTCTTCTTGATATTGACTAATATGTTTCAAGGAAATAATATTTTGGTAAATTAGCCACAGATTCAGCTCAGAGAGGCTATAATACTGTGTCCCCCCCCCCTTTTTTTGCCTTCCATCTCATATGTATTAAAGATTAAATAGACATTCAAAATAATTATTCTATAATATGCTAAAAATTGTCCAGGAAATATTGAACATTCACTTTATAGATTTATACCTATGTTATACAAATGCATTATTTAAGGCAAAAATAGAACCTTAAAATATATACTTGTTTTTAAAAAGCTTAATATTTATTAGCAGATGTTAGCATAACTATAGCAAGGCACACCTCATTTGTTGTTGTGATGATATTCTTTGTCAACAGAAAGGAAAGAATACTGATTTATCAAAAGATGAATAGATTTGCTTAGTCATTGTAAATCCCAACTGTGAATATTCCTTTGATTTATTTTTTAAATGTTTTTACAGGTTCTTATTGAGAAAAAGGAGAAAACTATGCAGACAACTAAGAATTTAGCATAACCTAAGATAAGACTAAGATAGATTTTTAAATGAAATAATTAATCATGAAATAGAATCATTATATGAAAATTATTTGTACTGCTATATACTTGTGAACAATTGGAAATTGAAATTTTTCAGAAGTACTGTTTATAGCCAAAGAAAAAAACATGAAATGGTAAAATTTAACAAAATATACAGAGAATCTATATGCTGAAAACTACAAATCACCAACAAAAGAAATCAATAGAAATTTAAATGAGGAGATAAACTAGGTTTATGGACCAAAAGATATAGTATTTTTTTTAATATGTTTTTATTTACTTTAGAGAGAAAGGGAGAGAGAGAAACATCTATCACATCAGTCAACTGCCTCCTGCATGCCCCCTACCGGGGATCATGTGCCTTGATTGGAGATTGAACCTTGGTACACAGGATGATGGGATATGCTCAACTAACTAAGCCACACTGGCCAGGGCCTAGAGGACTCAGCATTGTTTTTTAAAATGCTAATTCTTTCTATAGAGTCACTGCATTACCATTCAAAGTCTCAGCAGGCATTTTTGGAGACAAATGAGATTTTACAAAATTATATATGGAAAGGCTAAGGAATTTGAATAACCTGAGAATTTTGAGAAAGGGAAACAAAGTTGATTTTAAGATTTATTGCAGAAACATAGTAATCATATTGGTGAAAGAATAGACACACAGATCAGTGGAACAGAGAGTATAGAGTCCTCACGTATAAGAAAATCTTTGTGTTCTTGGAGTAGGCAAATTATTCCTAGATACTACACCAAAAGAATGATCCATTGAGGAAAAAAGTAATAAAATGGACTTCATAAAAATTAAAAACTCTATACCAAAGACACAAGCCCTGGCCGGTTTGGCTCAGCGGTTAGAGCGTCCGCCTGCGGTCCGGAGAGACCCGGGTTCGGTTCCTGCTAAGGGCATGTACCTCGGTTGCAGTTTGTCCCCGGCCCTGGTTGGTCGTGCGGGTGGCAGCCACTCGATGTGGCCCTTTCACATTGATGTTTCCCTCTCTCTCTCTTCCTATCCCTCCCTCCCACTCTGTCTGTACAAAAAATGGAAAAATGTCCTCGGATGAGGATAAAAAAAAAAAAAAAAAGACACAAAATGAGAAGACAAGTCATAGACTCAGAAAAAAATATTTGGAAAATAGATCTGATAAAAGACTTTGGGGATATTTAAAGACCTCTCAAATTAATAATAAGAAAACATCTCAACAAAAATTTGGGCAAAAGACTTGAACAGGCATTTCACTAAAGAAGTCGTATAGATAACACACACAAGAGATTTCAGGTGCTGGATATGTCATGGGCTGGAAATGTCATGGGCTGGAAAGGATGTGAAACAACCAGAACTCTTGTAAAGTGCTTGGTGGGATTGCAGTTACGTAGAAGGTTAAAAATACACTTAGTATATGACCCAGAAATCCTACTCATAGGTATCTACACAAGATAAATAAAAATTTATGTTGACACAAAAACTTATGAATATGTACAGTGGCTTATTCATAATTGCCAAAACCTTGAAACAACCTAAGTGCCCTTTAGTTGATGAATGGGTTAATAAACTCCTGTTCATCTATGAAATATTACTTAACAGTAAAAGGCAGTGATGTTCTGATATGAACTGTAACACATGAATCATAAACACATTGTTAGTGTAAAACTCTAGACTGAAAAGACTACATACTATATGATTACATTTATGTGATGTTCTGGAAAAGGCAAACTACAGGGACAGAAAGCAGAGCACTGATTGTTTTGGGGGGGTGATGAAATAGTTCTAGAGTTTGGTGATTGTGGTTACATAGTATGTACTTTTGTCAAAACTCATAGAACTCTACATCCAAAAAAAGGAATTGTGTATGTAATCTATATAACCTATCATACTGTTGTTCAGCATCATGCCTTTGAGATTCAACCAAGTTTTTGCATGTATAAAGGTTTAATTTCGTGAGTGAAAAATAAATTTACTTGACAAGTTTTCAATTATTAAAGGTTATCCTCTTATGTCATTCTTAATTTTGGTTTTCATTGGTGTTTTCCTAAATTTGCATGTAAAATCTTGTGGTTTTAAAACTCTCACATTATGTCTTAACTGCAGGTGATTTTGCAGTTCTTCTTAAAGCAGGCATGACTGTGAAGCAGGCGATCGTGTACAACCTCCTGTCCGCCATGATGGCCTACATAGGCATGCTCATAGGCACAGCTGTTGGTCAGTACGCCAACAACATCACCCTCTGGATCTTCGCGGTCACTGCTGGCATGTTCCTCTACGTAGCCCTGGTGGATATGGTAAGGCATCTTATTTATACTTCTGTTGTTATACTAAATCTGTAAATAGAACACAACTTCCAAAAATGAAAAGTCTTTGGATGTGGTTTGAAAGACTAATTTTAAAATATATATATATAACCCATTTTAAAGACATGTGATATTCTAAATAATCTATTAGGGAAGATATTTAAGTAGGATTCCTTCTTTGAAAACCAATTGAGATGCTGAAGATTTTTGACCTAATGATGTTGCTATTTAAAGTAATCATCAATAGTTTTTAGAGATGTAATTATAGGGTTATTATGCTACTTTAAAGGTTTTATAATACAGGGGTGGAAGTGTTTTGATGTTAAGAAAATGGCAAATAAGAAAGAAACACCAAACCTCTTAGATAAGCCAGTCTTGTGCAGAAATTATATTCGAAGGAATTTATATAATTTCCCTTACTTCTGTCTTTAGTCCTCCATCTCCTGACTACCTTTGCTCTACTCCCATCTCTCTGTGCGGTCCACCATCCTCCTCCTTTCAGCTGTCCTTCCCGCACTTGCCCTAGCCTGTCCGCTGCAACACTGGATCAACCTGACCCTTCATGATTACACCATGTGTGTACTTCAGACCCTTAGGTGGTTTTCCATCTTATTCAGAATAAATCACCAAATTTCTTTTTTTGACCTTCAAGGTTTTCCATCCTCCTTGAGCATTTCCATTCCCTCCCTGCCTCCAGGTTTCCAAACTGCACCTCATCTCCTCTTCCTTGCCCCCAGGAGGCACACTGCCTCTTGCTGATCACTCCATGTGGAATATTTTGTCTCATTTGGTTAGAGCATCATGCTGATATGTCAAGGTTGCAGGTTTAATGCCTGTTCAGGGCATGTGCAGGAATCAACCAGTGAATGCGTAAATAAGTGGAACAACAAATGTCCCCCCCACCCCACCCCCAAATTTTTTTAAATTAAATTTTAGTCTCTACCACAAAATTTCACATCCTCTATCCCCATTTTACTTTTTTCTCTGTTTTCTAGATCAATTTATGCTCTATTAATGCACAAGTATTTCTTCAACAAATCTACTTAGATAAATTAAAGATTTAAGTTTTATATTTTGAACTATGGATTATTCTTAAATGTAATATGCTTTAGAAGTTGAACTATAAACTTTTCAATGCACTATAGCTTTAAGATATTGAAACTTTCAAATATTTAAAATTGTATTCCTATTAAGAGAACAGAGTGCACTGTGAAGGTAGTGCAATCGCTTGGTAGAAGTTATGCTGGATAGCTTTGGTACACCGTTTTCTGTGTCTGTCGTTGGAAGGGAAAAGTGGTACGTAGGGCATATGGGGGCCAGTTTGGAGTGTTTGTAAAGGTCTATCCTTGCTGTCGTGTGCAGTCAGAAATGAGAATTTTAAGTGGAAAAGGATAAAGAAATGACAGTTTTTAATTAGATACCTCCAAAAGGAATCTTACTTTCTCAGTGAGCTTAAGCTGTTTGAGTAAATGTGGGACTTGTGGTGTTCTTTTCTGAGAGTTTTATGGCAGTAATTAGTTGTCTTATACATTAGCATAAAGTAAATGCCAGACTTGATAAGGTCAGTGGACAGCAGCCCAAAAGTGACTGATGTATACATTGTGTGCGGAGAGTGAGGAGGGAACGGGTCAGTGTTTGCTTAGCACAGAGCCAGAGCATAAGATGTCCTTCTTTCTTTTGGTTTGACTAAAATATGTTGTGGGTTAGCATTGTGTTCAGTAAAATAATTATTTTATTTGTAGTTATACTTTAGTCATTAGTGTTCTTAAGTAGGAAAATGTAAAAAAAAAAAATATTTGAGCAGAATATTATACAAAATGGCTTATAACTAAGTCTCTGTGGTTTTCCCAGCTTCCAGAGATGCTGCATGGGGATGGCGACAACGAAGAGCACGGCTTCTGTCCAGTGGTGCAGTTCGTCCTTCAGAACCTAGGGTTGCTGTTTGGGTTTGCCATCATGCTGGTGATCGCCCTGTATGAAGACAAAATTGTGTTTGACTTCCAGTTTTGACCATTCCCAGTGATCACTGTTGATTCCGAGGCTGTGACCGTGCGGCCTCGCATCTGCTCCTTGTCCTGTGTGCGCGTTGCTCAGAGAAAAGCCAGTGGCTGCACTGCTTACCGTCCCGTAGAGCTGGGCCTGCCCCGAGGCTGGTGCTCAGTGCTGTGGCTCCTGTGTGAGGGGTCTTTTACAAAAATGTAGAGCTTATGATACAGGAAGGAGAAAATGGGACTCCATGAAACAATGTTGGTATAGGATTGATTAAGACTTTCAAAAAATAATCATATAAAACACTAAAGTAGTCTCTTTATTAGTAGAAACTTCTGTGGCTATGCAGAAATAGAAGTTGAACCAAAAAAATCACTTAAACTTTAAAGTATTTTAAATGGACTTTGGGCAGACTCTTCTTTGTGCTAAAAATGACTTGTAGTGTCCTTTAACTCAGCTGCACACACGGTGTAGGGGTCGACCTGATGACCGCGACGCATCAAGTCGACTACGGGACCCGGAGGAAAAGCTCAGGCTGCCGTAGAACATGGATCGAGCTTTGGGAAAGCCCTTATTCTTGAACTTAGAGTTACTATTTTTGTATATATTTGCATAGTGTTTAAACTTGCAGCCTAAACTACTGAAATTTGTGATTGTATGTTTGTGTGAGCTTCGGTTTAATGGAAGATTCATAATGGTTCTTTGTATTAATATTATACTTGGTGTTTGGGTTGTTTTTTAATTTTTGTTTTGTTTTGGGGTTTTGGGTAGGGATAGGAGGTTGGAGCATGTGGTAAAATGTTGTTTTTTTGTTATTAAAATTGTAACCCTCTAGAAAATTTCAGAGAAGTGAAGAACCCAAATATGGTCTAAATATTCAATTTTCCTACTTTAACAGTACTAACTAGTTATTTGGGAAATTTAAGTTCTAAATGTACGTATCACTTTACCAGTTTGGCATTGGGACCATGATGCTATGGCTGGCAGTAAATCCGAATGTACCATGTCCGTAATCTCTACGTGGAGTGTAGGAAAAACAACAGGTGTGAGGATCCTCTCCATTGGTACCGTGGCTATCTGAGGACCAGGTGACTTGGAAGATATACTTAAATAACTCCGCTGAAACCACTTGATCATTTTGTGCCAAGATGTGCTGTTGGTGCCTGATAGGGATCAGCCTCCTTTTTTGGGTGCTCTGTTCTACAATAATTGTGATTGATTTGTGAGAGTGCAAGCCACGCTTATTCAGAATCCTGACCTAATAATTTACAGTACAGTCAGATGCATGTAGCTTTCTGTTCACACCTGTGCTGCGTGGCCTTCGCCTGTCCAGTCAGGCTGTGTTTAACTGCAGGCAGCTTTCTTTTAACCTGCTTGGCTACCGATGTGGCTGCTTTAAAAATCTTATTGTTCAAATATTGCAGAGCCAAACTCTGTCCATTCCATTATAGTGTTTTCATTTAGTCCTCCTTTCCCTCATTTCTTTCCTCTCCGTAACTTGAAACGGAAACCAAAAACCTTGAGAGCAGCACGTACATCCAGGTATTAGTGGGCACGCCAGTGTTTCTTCTTGATGCTGTACGCAATGGAGGGGAGCGTAGGGGTTATTTTCTTAATTTATGCTGAATTTGAAAAGTTATTTCTGGCTTTCTCCATGGTTTCCTGTAAGGAGCAGGAGTTTTATACATAGATTATTTTCAGCATTGGGCGCTGAATCGGGACAGTCCTCACTCATCTCATCGCTTGGCCCTTCGAGCAACCGAGCGCAAAGGTGCTGGTATTTCATTTAGTACTGCCATGTCCCAGCGATTCAGGTCTCTTGCTTTCTGAACCAGATGCGTGTATAGTTCATTTTCGGGTTTTGTGCCCAAGGCGGATTCTTCATTCAGCGTTATTAAATCTGCGTAATTTTTAAACTTTTGTGAAAAGCAACGGCTGGAATATACTCCCAGCCTTGAACACCTGATTGAAATAAAGCAGATAGGTTAGGCTGAAGTACATGAAGTTTTACATTTTCTTGAAAATGGTATTATCTTTATTTGCTATATCTTTTTAACCTTTTAGGAGGGCTGTAACAATTGCTGCTAGTATTTTGTTAGGGTTCCACCAGTGTTTAGTTTTCACATCATTCTAATGTATAATTTCAAGTCTTACTAGACAATCCGAATTCCACTACATTTCTGTTTGGCTCCAACATTCCATTTAGCTTGACCAGTCTGCTTAACATGTGTTTGTTGGAGGTCATTGCTGTTACTTGTACGATGCTGTCACTGTGTGACATCATATGAAATTTGGTGTATATCACATTGCATTCAATCAGCTGTGATTATGCTTAGAAATACTGTAGTAACTAGGTGCAGTGTGAATTTTTTCCATTAACAAGAAGTCCGTGGCTTAAATGTGATTATGGTCCTGCAAGGTGATACTTGCTAAAATATCTAAACTTTTTTTTTTTATAACTGAATCATTTTTTTTAAATTTATAAAGCTGGAAATGATCAAATGCTGTTTTTTTCATTGTCAACAGTGATGTGTCATTTTATTGTATGTTCCTAATGCTTACGGAACTCTTCCAAAATAAAGTTATTCAAAAAGAGCAAATACACCCATGTGTTTTCATTAGTCTAATCTTTATTCCAGACATTTCCTCACACTGAAGTATGAATCATTTTAAACAAAGGCTACATTTGCACATTAATAAATTCATAATTAAGTGTAACTTTAGTCAAATTGATTGAAACTAAATAAATTGTTTAAAAAGTAAAATATATTTTCTACTCAATCATGTAACAAGAAATAGGAACTGGAACATGAGATCTCATTATGAGTTAAGTTGACATAACAGCGCTACGCCCCGTCCGATCCAGTGCTCCTTGGGGTGCTCCGAGGGCAGAGTCATGGCAATCACAAAATTCGTGGAGTGGCCAGTGGTGGACAGCGTTCCCCTTCGCTCACTTGTCTTGTACAGCGGAGCCACGTAACTTGGTCGTTCTGGTATATCTACCCTCTTGCAGGGCTTCAGCCACATCTGGAAAAAAGTGCAGAAAACTTTAAGTCGAGGCTGTTATAGCTGAACATACGAAACAGCAGTGTTGAGTAAAGTTAGTTAGGGCTGCAAATTTCTGTGGCCCAATAGTTTTGTCAGCAGTGCTTCCATTGTTAAAAACATCTTTGTAACGCTCCCAGAACTATCTTCGAAACCAGTTTAGAAACTAAATGAGAAAAAATATGTACTCTTTTCACCTACTCTGTCAAAAAGGTATTAACTATTCATTACCTCCCCACCATACTTCAGCTCTGGATGACTTTTGGTGCTTACAAACAAAAGTCAGATATACTTAAAAAAGAGAAAACTGCTACCATTGACACTCAAAATCGTGTTGCCTGATTTATTAAAGGCCAATCCCAAGAGATTCTAAGGATTTTTATCACTGATGATAGAATTAAACCAACTCCCCATTTTAGGTGAATATTTTATTTTTTTTAATCCTCACTCAAGGATATATTTGTTTTTTTGTAATTGATTTTAGAGAGAGGTGTGTGCCCTGATCGGGAATCAGACACACAACCCTTTGATGTACTAGACAACACTCCAACCCACGGAGCCACACAAGCCAGGGCTCAGGTGAATATTTTAGTATTTGTGTATCATGCGTATACAATAGACCCATATTATTTTTAGAGAGTCAGCCAAATTCCTAGCATTGTTGAACCTCATCAGTCTCAAAAATAGGATTTGGGAGCAAGTTGATTTCTGAATAAGAATAAAGAACAAACTATGATCATCAAGACGAAATAACTTTAGAATTTAAGGGAATTCATTCTTTTCTGTTACAATAGTAGCAGCAGTTCTTTGAGGGGCTATGAGCTGACAGACCCACGATTCGGAGTCCTCTTAGGTTCCTCAAATTGTATGAAGGAGCTAATGAGGAAGCCCGTCTCTCTTTCTCCTATGTAATTGTGGAATCCAGATTCTTATAAGGGGGATTCATAAAACAGTTTTTCAGATACAGTTAAGTATAAAGTTGGATGTATTTCATTTTAACCAAGAGTAGATTTTCTTAACGAGAATTTTTCTTACTAAGTAACTTCCTTATTCAGGAGAATCATCGCTCACAAATTCCTTCTATTCACTGCAACTACTGAAGAGTTTCCACGTGAAAGGAACACCAACCCCCCAACCGCACATTTGCCCTTGTGACTCCGTCTCAGCTTTGGAACTTTCTCTCCCCACAGCATCACAGTGTTTGGCAGGGATCTTGCAGTTGGCCATCAGCTGGTCCCTAGTCGACCTGTTAGAGCTGCTCTGAAGGATGTTTGCCTGTCTGAGCTGTTCCCTGTGCCACAGACAATTCATGGGAACCCACAGCCTCTATTTCATCACCATCCCAGACCGTCCAGTTGTGTGAAAAATCTAGTCATGTTCTCATCATGTAGTAACAGACAGAAATAATATTTACATAGTTTAGTCTCCCATGCTGAAGATGGGTGCCTAGAAAACAACTTTATATGGGTGGCTTTCATATAGAATCTTTTAATCTGCAATTTCACATTTTTAGGTCAGGGTTTATATAAGAAAAAATTATATAAGGAAACATTTATGTGTGTGTATGGACACATACATAAATTTGATCCTCAGTACTCCTGGGTTCTGTATTTGCAAATTTGTCAAGCATTAAAATGTACTCCTCATCCTAAAATCAATACTCTGCATTTTCATGGTCATTTGCAGACATGCTCAGAGCAGCAAAAACTGTGTCACCAGACAAGCATGTTCCCAGCTGAGGTTGAACCTGTGACATTCTGACACTTTTGTTTCATCTCATAACTAAACAAGTATCCTTTTGGTGGTTTATATAATGCCCAGTTGTTTTTTTATCCTCACCTGAGGGCATATTTGCATTTATCTTCAGATAGAGCAGGAGGGAGAGGGGGGGCGGAGAGAGAGAAACATCAATGTGAGGGAGACACATCGAGTGGTTGCCACCCACACAACCCCAACCGGGGCCAGGGACAAAGTGCAACCAAGGTACATGCCCTTAGCAGGAACCAAACCCGGGACTCTCTGGTCCTCAGGCCGATGCTCTAACCACTGAGCAAAACTGGCCAGGGCCATAATGCCCAGTTTTAAACATTTTTGTATTTTTTTGTAGTTGTTGATGGTGATTTTTCTGTTTACAACTACCCCCCAAGTGTAGTGCTGAGGGGCTGTCTGGTGTTCCTAAATGCAAGAAGGCTGAGATGTGCCTATACTATCAGCTTCATTCACGCATGAGTTACAGTGCTGCTGTCCATAAGTTCAATGTTCATCGATCAACAATATAAAGTAAGGTGTCTTTAAACAGAAACAAATAAAACAAGGTTATGTACCGATCAGTTAACATTTCTTCTGGGAGCGATGGTTCAGTATTCACTAGTTCAATGTTGGCAGCAACCTTATGAAACATAATCATCCTGAATAACAAGAGTTGACTGGGGGTGTGTGTGAAAGAGCCCCTCATATATATCTCCTTGGAAAATACTAACCACAGGCACTGTATCATAAAGAATTTTGGGATATGATTCTGCAAGTTTCTTTATCTTTCTATTCCAGGAAGCTCCATCCAGAAATAATCCATTAATGAAAACACCTAAATATAGAAGAAACAGGTTAATACAACACTTGAAACACAAAAATTGTTTGAATTCTGAATCTGAAATTCCTACGGGTGGCGACTATGCGGGTTACACTCGATCAGCAGCCTAAGACTTGTTCTAAAATGAAAAGCATTGTTCTTAGTGTTTGGTCTTAACATCCACATCTCGAAAATATCTATACTTTGCCCAGTCAATTAGTTCAACAGTATAATTAAAAGTGGAAGACAAAAGAGGAAAGGAGTTTTAAATTAGTTTGTGCGAATACAATCAGATTTGTATTTTTAATTGGCCAATGATCATAATGTCAGCGGCCATGAAATCGTCAAGAAAAGTCTTGATGCAGTTGAAGCAAGCCGGTGGCTTCTGGGCAGCATGGGAACAGATACCCTCCTGCAGACCTCTGATTCACGGGAGTTAAATTTCTCATCCCTTTTAGAATTTATTCTCACTCCAAGGACAATGGATAAACTCCCTAGAACAGACCCTCCCAGCTGAAGAACACAGATTAGGAAGTCGATGAAACCCAACCCCTGTCTCTTGCTCCCCATTTGTGTAGAGCCTCATGGTCTGAGGCCAGGTATCTGCACTTGCAAACACTCATGGTAATATTTGCACAGATGTAAAGTGAAGCAATGGGGAACTCAGACCTAGGTTTTAGTTCCTAATTTGCTGTGTGACCTTGAGCAATTCATTTAACTTTAGACCTGTTTTGTCATCTGGAGAACAGCTGCGAAACATTTGTAAAATGATAACACCTGCTTTGTCTGCCTTGCAGAGTTGTTAGAATCAAATCAGCTACCACGGGAGAGAGCACTGTGAAGTAGTCTACAAAAGCCCTCAGGCAGTGCCGCTCAAGGACGTTTTGAGATGATGGGAATATTCCAAACTGTGCTTTCCCATCGGGTGGCCATTGGCTAGCAAACACCTGGTGCATGGCTGGTGTGACCGAGGGGTTGAATTTTCAGTTTAATTTTAATTATACAGGCATGCATCACTTCGGGACAGGGACACTTTCTGAGAAATGTCGTTAGTTGGTTTCCTCATGGTGCAAACATCACGGAGTTACTTACACAAACCTAGATGGTATAGCCTTCCACACACCTAGGCTGTGTGGCCCAGCCCTCTGCTCGGAGGCTACAAGCCTGTATGAAACAACGCGAGGTTAACGGGCGCAAGAGAAAACGATGCCATCAACAGACGCAGTGGACACAAGATGTCTGAGGCTGCTGCTGGTGTTACCTGGCACACTGTTACAGCAAACTAAAAATGCAAGTAGAGAGAGTACGCTCTAAAACAACGATAAAAAGAATAATACAGTCAATACATAAGCCAGTAACATAGTTGATTATCATCATTATCAAGTATTGTGGACTGTACGTATCATACGTGCTATCCTTTTATAGGACAGCTCAGGTCTGTCTACACTCGCTCTCCCACAAACGTGTGTGACACGTGCTAAGATGGCATGACAGTGATGACGTCACTAGGCGATAGGAACTTTTCAGCTTTGTTATAATCTTAAGGGACCATCGTCCTGTACGTGGCCCATCCTCGACCTAAACGTCATTATGGGGTGCATGGCCGTGGGTAAATGAAGAAAGTCATATGCAGACAGTTCAATGATGGATGTCGGGTGGTGGGGAGACTTTGTCTCTTCTCTAGAGTTTAACTAATGGAAAGAATAGTTGGAATAAAATGTCAGGTGTATTAATGGGCAAAGTGCTTGTCCAATAACTTCCCAAGTATTACTCTGGTAGAGATGAATTGCAAAACGTATCTGGAGTCGGGTGATGTGGGGAGAGGACCTGCCGAGGGAGAGAGAGGGCTGCAACCGCATCCTAGGAGCTGAG